TTCTGTTGCTGTGATAAAATGTTCTTACCAAAACAAACTTAGGGGAGGAAATGGTAGTTACAGTCCACCATTGAGAAGTCAGAGCAAGAGCAAGGTTTCTTTCTTTTCTGGCTTTTTGAGACAGGGTCTCTCTGTGTAAGAGTCCTGACTGTCCTGGATCTGCCTGCCTCTGTCTCCCAAATACTGAGATTAAAGGAGTGTGTTACCGCCCGGCTGTGTCATGTTAGCCCAACAGGAAAATATAAGCAAAGATTAAAATGACTGCTATGTTTTTTTTCAACTGTCTAAAAGCTCACACTCCTTAGAAATTAGGCTCAAGTCCATACAACATGTTATTTGGACAATCATTTCTCACTAATGATTTTCTTTCTGATCATGAAAATGCTGACCTTATTAATGCAATCATTTCATTGGCCTCTTTATGAAAATTTAATACTTTTGTGCAAAAATAAGAAAGCTGATCCTAAAATTCATATGGAACTGGAATGGTTCATTAAGACCAAAATGATCCTGAAAAAGAATAAAGTTGGAGGACTCGATCTTAATTTCAAAACTCACTATAAAATTATAATAACTAGGGGCTGGAGAGATGGCTCAGCAGTTAAGAGCACTAGCTGCTCTTCCAGAGAACCCAGGTTCAATTCCCAGCACCCACATGGCAGTTCACAACTGTCTATAATTCCAGTTCCAGGGATCCAGCATCCTTACACAGATGCACCAATGCAAAGAAATAAATCATAAAAACTACAAGAACTAAAAATATCAGATTTAATTTTAAAACAAAAAACCTATAGTAATCATGAGAGCTCAGAATATAACTCAATGGTGGAACTTGCCTCGCTGGCTGACACCCTCCACACTATGTGTAAAGGGCAGAGGTCAATGTCAGGTGTCCTCCTCTTTGCTCTTTACCTTATTGACTGGGACAGGGTCTCTCACTGAACCTGAAGCTTCTCAGTTTAGCCAGACTGGGTGGCTGGCAAGCTCCAGGGATCATTTTGTCTCTGCCTTCCCAGTTCTAGGGCTACACGTGCATGTCACCACACCCAACTTTTTAAGTGTGTGCTTGTGATTGAACTCCTGTTCTCACACTTGTGTAGCACGTGCTTACTGACAATCTCCCTAGCCCATTTTATGTTTTTTTTCCCCCTTGAATTCAAATTTGAAAGAGAATGTATGCCACATGTACCTGGGTACCTGGAGGCTAGAGGAGAATGCTGGGTCCCCTGGAGCTGAAGTTACAGATGGTGGTGAGCCATCTGACGTGGGTTCTGTGAAAAGAACTCAGGCCCATACAGGATCAGTCAGTGCTCTTAATCACTGAGCCAGCTCTCTAGACCCTCATTTTGTGTTTTTTGAAAGAGTCTCACTATACAGCCCAAGTTGACTTCAAACTTGCTTTCCTGATTTGTTTTCTGAATCCTGGGATTAAAACTTTTCTTTGCTAATTGATCTTTGACAAGGGTACTGAGTATGTTCAAAGAACAGACTTCATCAAATAATGCTGGGACATTATAGATCTCCATATACCAAAAGGATGAGGTGGGACACATATACAGAAATATGAGCTAAAAAAGTGGATCAAAGACAACTAAAACTTAGAGCCAGCAAGATAGTTCAGAGGGTAAGGGTGCTTGCTGCGAAACTTGATGATCTGAGTTCGATTCCTGAAAACCACATGGTAAAAGAGAGCACTGACTCCCACAAGAGTTCCTCTGACTACTATACACATGCTGTGGCACATGTGCACCTACACAGGCACAGACACAATACACGAATGAATAAAAATTTAAACTGTGAGTTTAAAAAGAAAAGCAAGTATTTCTTTTTCTTTTCTTTTGTTTTTTGTTTTCTCGAGGCATGGTTTCTCTGTGTAACAGCCCTGGTTGTTCTAAACTCACTTTGTAGGCCAGGCTCGCCTCAAACTCACTGAGATCCGCCTGCCTCTGCCTTCTGAGTGCTGGGATTAAAGGTGTGTGTCACCACCATCTAGCAAAGCAAGTGGAAAAGTTTGGTGGTTTCTGAACAAACTAAAGGTATCTCCACATATCCCAACAATCCCGCTCTAGGGCTCCCAGAGTTCAAGAGAAGAGCATTGCCTGCTTGAGGCTGAGGGAGCAGTGAGGACAGAGATTTATTTGGGGCAGAATGAGGAAGTTAGCTGTTTCCCTTAGATAAGCTGCTTGTCTGTTGTCTCTTTTTTGCCACTACTGGGTGTCTGGAATTGGGCCAGCTGCCTTCTGCAATCCTCAAATACCTGCTTCCTGGAACTTTGAAGGCCTTGGCTTTGCCAGGGTGAGGGTGGGGAGGTGGGCGTGGGGGGATGGGATTCATGTTTCAATTTGGAGAAAATGTCTCACAACAAAACTTTTAAGTGTCTTAAGTATGGGTAGAATAAGCATTATACTCTCTAGTTCCAGAAGGTAAGTTTGTCTCTTTAAAGGAGTGTCGTTTGCTCTGTCATGCTCACCACCATTAACCTGCTCTGTTGTTACTGAAAGGAAAAGTATTGGCTCCAGGAGCCAATGGTGGCCATGCTCGAGCTGGCCAGAGTCCCTTCAGTTACTGTTTTTGTTAGTGGGGGGTTGGATTTTCTTCTTCTTCCTTTTTTCTTTTTCCTGACTGCCTTTCTTTCTCTACCCTGCTCCCCCCTCCTCCCTACATAATCTGCCAGCTGGAGACTGGAAGACTGTCTTTGCAGATTGCCAGCTTCTGGAATAAAGCACTGGAATAAAGACTCAGTGCCTCTGTACTTATGGGTATCAGAAAAGCAGCAGCAAGCTCTGCTATTCCAGATTCAGCATTCAGGGTACAGAAGATGCCTTCTACATGCCACAGTGATAAATTATTAAGAATCCCTGGAGAGATGGCTCAGAGGTTAAGAGCATTGGTTGCTCTTGCAGAGGTCCTGAATTCAATTCCCAGCAACCACATGGTGGCTCACAAACATCAGTAATGAGATCTGGTGCCCTCTTCTGGCAAGCAGGCAGAACACTCTATACATAATAAATAAATAAACCTTAATTTAAAAAGAAGAAGGAGGAGGAGGAGGAGAAGGAGGAGGAAGAGGAGGAAAAGAAGAAGAAGAAGAAGAAGAAGAAGAAGAAGAACAACAACAACAACAACAACAACAAGAAGCAGAAGCAGCAGCAGTAGCCCTGGCTTGGTCTACATAGTTAGTTCCAGAACAACCAGGGCTACACTACAGAGAGACCCTGTCAGGAAAAACAAAACAAAACAAGGAAAGGAAAAAAAAAAAAAGAGAGAGAGACAAAGACAGAGAGAGACAGAGAGAAAGGTATCCCAGGCCCAGTAGGGAGAACTATGTGTGTGGGGGGAAGATGTCTTAAAATAAACATTTAAGGGGCTGGAGAGATTGCTCAATGGCTAAAGGCACTTGTTGCTCTTCCAGAGTTACCTATGTTTGATTCCTAGTGGCTAACAACCATTTGTACTTTCAGTTCTAGGGGATCTGATGCCCACTTCTGGCATCCATGATATACATATGAAACACATGTATGGCTTCATGGGCATACATGTGAAACAAGGCATACATGCAGGCAACCCCTCCTCCCCCCCAAAAAAAAACGAAAAGAAAAGAAAGAAGACATTTAAACAGTAGTTAGGCTGGACATCAACTGTAACCCCAGTGCTTGGAAGACAGAAGCAAACAGATCTGTTTGTTCAAGGCCAGCCTGGTCTATGTAGCCAGGGCCACACAGTGAGACCCTGTCTCAGAAAAAGAGAATTACTACTCAATGCTTTTTTTTTTTTTTTAACTATTCGACACTTTGAAGAGGTGAAGTTGGGGGCTAGCGTCCACCCAACCTTGACTCCCCTCCCACTGTTTCAGAACTGGAGGCTGGAAGTCTAGAGATCCTGCTATTTACAAAGAGAAGGAACGGCTGCAACAGTTCTTGGGGTTCTGTCTTTTTCATCTTCCGAGATAGTCCTATCTCTGTGTATCTTGGAATCAGTCTATAGGAGTAGTAATGACTTCCCCTCTAGCTCCCAAACCTTAATATTATCACTGCCACCAAGACCTAAAGTCACCCGTGCCGTAGAATGCAGGGATAGGAACGATAAATAAAGTTGGAACACTAAGCAAAAGGAGTTTGGTACGGGTTTCCAACTCAACTGAACTTCAGCCTCACCAAGAGAGAATGCGAAAATACATGTTTGCTCTCAATCGCTCCAGACCCACAGAAGACCCATCGTCCATAGGTATCTGAGACGATCAGACAGAGACAACGGGCAAAGATCTATTAAATGCCGTTAAAGGGCTACATTTAAGGCAGCCTGAAGTTCGAGGGGAGCCCGAGGCGTGAGGACTGGTGGGAGAGGGTCCCGGCCGGGCTACAGGCGGAGTCGCTTCCGCCTCCGCTTTGGGTACCCAACGCGCGCGAGGTCTCACTTTGTGGGCGTTCCTCAAGGAAGTCGAACCCAAAAGCTCCTTACCCGCCGCATGCGACCATTGGACAGCAAGTCGGCGATCCCCTTGGCAGCGTCGTTTTTCTCAGCCACACAGAGAACTTTTCGCACTCCTCGGAAGGCCACTTCCATGGCAGCGCGGGACAAGGCACGGCCTCCAGGCCGTCGCTGCCACCGGAACGCTAAGAGAGTGATTGGGAAGATCATTCCCTAGGCCCTGCTCCAGCAGCAACTCCACGGTGCCCCGTACATGTTGGGGAACCCAGAGGAGATGCCACGAGGCACACCTCTGAGAGTTACTTTAACAATGCACCTTTTCCAGGCCACTGGCTGCCTCAGCGTGGAACCCACGCCTCAGAGATCCGCTTAAACTCGCGCTCACTGACAACTTCCGCTAACCGAGCAGCCTCGAACTACAACTCCCAGAATGCTTCATGCCCCGGCACGCTCACCCATCACCGTTTCTCCTCCTTCCTCCCACCTCACTGTATTCTACTTTCTCTTTCTTTAGGACAGTGGTTGGTTAATGGGACTTGTCCTCAGGAGGGACTGATTGACAGTGCCTTTTAAAAGGCGCCACTTATTCGGAAGTTAATGTGAGCGTTTCCGGGTCACGCGACGCTGATGCTTGGGAGTCATGTGATACCAAGATGGTGGTGCCGCGGTAGCTTCTTCCCTGGGACAGTGCAGTCCTAGGAGCCGCAACAGTTTCTGCTCTTAGGTTTTGGGGAGGTTCATTTAACTGACTCTGCAGCCGTCCGTGACTAGGACTAAGGAACCTGATCAGTGCTGGAGCTGTTAATGTCACTGGTAGGTTCCGGGGAGTGCTAGTGATTTCGGTTCAAGAAGCCTTGTGACAGCCGGGGAAACAGCGAGAGTGGCTAGCCTCCTCCGTCATCTGCGCTTGCAGCTTTGGAGTTCATGAGGCTTCCCAGGGTTTCCCAGGTCCCAAACCCTGATAATCTTCGGGAATTTGAATTCTTGGGTGTGTGAGAGGCATCTTAGGACCCCTGAAAGTCCAAAGAAGGCCGTAAGAGCTTTGCTTCCTCATCCAGAGGCCGGACTTCCCCGCCGACTAACCACGCATTATTTTCCATTTCCTCTCAATGTTCTCTCCGTATTTCAGGAAATATGATCAGCGCCCCTGATGTGGTGGCCTTCACCAAGGAAGACGAGTATGAGGAAGAACCTTACAATGAGCCCTCCTTGCCGGAGGAGTACTCAGTACCTCTCTTCCCCTATGCCAGCCAAGGGGCTAACCCCTGGTCTAAACTGTCCGGGGCCAAGTTCTCCAGGGACTTCATCCTTATTTCCGAGTTCTCTGAACAGGTGGGACCTCAGCCCTTGCTGACCATCCCCAATGACGCCAAAGTTTTTGGCACTTTTGATCTCAATTACTTCTCCTTGCGGATCATGTCAGTGGATTACCAGGCTTCATTCGTTGGTCATCCTCCTGGTTCTGCCTACCCCAAGTTGAACTTTGTGGAGGACTCCAAAGTGGTGCTGGGAGACTCTAAGGAAGGGGCCTTTGCATATGTGCACCACCTCACCTTGTATGACCTGGAGGCCCGTGGCTTTGTGAGGCCCTTTTGTATGGCTTATATCTCTGCGGACCAGCATAAAATCATGCAGCAATTCCAGGAGCTTTCGGCTGAATTTTCCAAAGCATCCGAGTGCTTGAAGATGGGTAACAGGAAGGCATTTGCTGGGGAACTTGAAAAAAAGCTGAAAGACTTGGATTATACGAGAACTGTGCTGCACACAGAAACCGAGATCCAAAAGAAAGCCAATGACAAAGGTTTTTATACATCTCAGGCAATTGAGAAAGCCAATGAATTGGCCAACGTGGAGAAGTCCATCATTGAGCATCAAGATTTGCTGAGGCAGATCCGCTCGTACCCTCGCCAGAAGATGAAGATACCTGCTTTGCGTCCTGGCGATATGGAGCACACCCAAGACCAGGCTGCCCAGGTCTCCACTACCTCTAACCCCGAGGAGTCAGCTAATGCAGACCGTTATACGTGCAGACCAGCTTACACCCCGAAACTCATCAAAGCAAAGTCCACCAAGTGTTTTGACAAGAAGTTGAAGACCTTGGAGGAACTCTGTGACACTGAATATTTCACTCAGACCCTGGCCCAGCTTAGCCACATTGAACACATGTTCCGGGGAGACCTATGCTACCTCCTGACTAGTCAGATTGACAGAGCACTTCGGAAACAACAACACATAACAAATTTCCTCTTTGAAGACTTTATGGAGGTTGATGACAGGATGGAGAAACAAGAGAATGTGCCCTTTCGGCCCAGTCAGGACAGGCTGCCTTCCAGGCCTGTGGAAGAATGTCCCATTCCTAAAGTGTTAATTAGTGTTGGTTCATATAAGTCCAGTGTGGAGTCTGTTTTGATCAAGATGGAGCAGGAACTTGGAGATGAAGAATACAAGGAAGTGGAAGCAGCAGAGTCAAGCAATTTTGACCCCCAAGAAAACCTGGACTACCTGGATATGGATATGAAAGGGAGCATCAGCAGTGGGGAAAGCATCGAGGTTCTGGGCACCGAGAAGTCATCCTCTGTGCTGTCTAAATCTGACAGCCAGGCCAGCCTCACGGTGCCATTGAGTCCCCACGTAGTCCGTAGCAAGGCAGTCAGCCACAGGACAATCAGTGAGGACAGTATTGAAGTCTTAAGCACCTGCCCATCTGAGGCCCTCATTCCTGATGACTTTAAGGCCAGCTACCCAAGTGCCATTAATGAGGAAGAAACCTATGCAGATAGTGAGGGGGCCATCCATTTCGAGGCAAGTGTCTGCTCACCAGAACTGGGTGAGACTCAGGAGGGCAGCTTGGAAAATACCCCATCCCAAATAGACTCCAGCTGCTCTATTGGAAAGGCGAGTGAAGGTCAGCTGGTTCCTCTTCCCACCCCGGCTTACACTCTTTCTGATGAGGATGGTGTGGTGAGCATCCCCCCACAGAGCTCCAGGCAGAAGGACCAGGGGTTCCATGTGGACGTCGAGATGGAAAACACTGACCCTTCTCCCCGAGACAATAGCTGTGAGATGTTCCCAGCTTATGAACTGGATCCAAGCTGCCTTCTGGCTAGCCGAGATGTTAGTAAGACAAGCCTGGATAACTACTCGGACACCGCAAGCTACATGAGCAGTGTGGCCTCTACCAGCTCAGACAGAACCCTGTCTGCTCACTCTGCTGGCCTGTCCTCTGAGAGACACAAGAAGAGAGCTGGCCAGAATGCCTTAAAATTCATCCGCCAGTACCCCTTCGCCCACCCAGCCATCTACTCCCTACTTAGCGGGAGGACGCTTGTGGTCCTGGGCGAAGACGAAACCATAGTCAGAAAGCTTGTAACCGCACTGTCTATCTTTGTTCCCAGCTATGGCTACTATGCCAAGCCAGTGAAGCACTGGATTTCTTCCCCTTTGCATATTATGGATTTTCAGAAGTGGAAGCTTATTGGCCTACAGAGGTAACTGGTTCCAGGTGGTGGGGAAGAAACACTAGACATTAAGAGATGAAGCAGGTTGTTCTGTGGACCCCAGAAAAGGGAAGCTTGCTTTTTGGACAATGGATAACCAACTCACTGTTCTTACCTTTGGCAAATTACTCTTGATTTTGTTGCCTTATCTGTCATGGAGAGGGGGTTCACAGTTGCTAAGTGATTGCCAGTGCTGGGGGCCCTTCCCACTTCCATGTCAGACCGTTTGGGAGAATTATTCGTTGTGTATGTTTGGTGCTAGTGATAGAACCCAGGGCCTGTGTATGCTAGGCAGACATGCTACTTCTGAATTACATTCCCATCCCCTGGGAGAGTTTTTTAAATCATGAATTCCCAATCAGATTCTAAATCAGTTGGTCTGTCTGAGATAAGAAATGGAGTCTTGCTCCAGTGAAATCAGAGAGTGAGTGGATTTGAAGATGCTATGTTCATTCTGACTGCAGCTCACATTGGCATAAAGAACTGTGGCTGTCACTGTGGGAGATGTAGAACTCCAGTAGCTTGTACTCTGCTGTTGTATTCGCTCCGGAAGCGAGGAGTCACAAGAGCTTGTCTTTTCCCTGTTTGATGTTATGGTGTTACCTTGCCGTGGCTTATTCACACAAGTATTTGGGCAGGTCATTCCTGTGTTCCAAGAAAACAGTCAACTTGTTGAATGGTCATTTGCTAAGTATTATGAGGCTAGTGAAGAGCCAGCCTCTGCCCAGTGCCTGAATTCCAAGGTAATCCAGCCATGTTGAATCTGACCCCCATTCTGTCACCATGCCACCAACTTAACTTCTCCAGGGCTTTTGCCTTCACTGTAGTCAGCTGGTAAAGCCTGTCTTACGATACAGGTGCCTATTATTGACTCGTCTCTACAAGCGTGCACTCTAAGTGAAGGCGACAGGTGAGCACATCCTATAGCATATGAGATACAGTGTATTCTACTGAGGTGGGCACAGATGTTGGGACGCTCCTATACGAGTGTCAGTGCCTACACAGTGCTCCAAGAAATGATTTCCCCAGACAGGAGCCACTTCGAAGTGGCATGGCGATGGGAGGGTCTCAGCTAACCCAGAGAGGCCCTGGGAAGTGGGCCTCTTTTCCTAGCAGAGACAATGCGTTTCTTCTAAGCATACTCACTATTGCAGTTGAAAGGGAACTGGCATCTTCCTGAAACTGTGACGCTAGGACACCTGAGGTGAGGGCTGTCAGAGGAGGATGATGATTGCAGTGGGAGCAACAGGGTCTAGGTCAGTGCTGGCGCTGCCTTCTCGCTGTGGTGGATCTGGACTCCTAGAGTCACGTTGTGTGCCTCTGCTCCCAGTGCCACCTTCCAGAGCTGGAAAGGGGCCCGGATTGGGAGATGTCATTTTATAGCAGTTCCTGACCTTATTGGTTAGCTATGTGGAGGCCAGTCTAGACTGTATTAACAAGACATTGACTTTAAAAAGAAAAAAAGGGATGCAGAGTGAGAGTTTTTGTGTAGTGGCACTCTTGTCCACAGAGCCGTGGGCTGCCGCAGGGCTAGTTCTGTGAGCAGGGTTCGTCTGAATCCTCCAGTCTTGGCTTCACCTGGAACTGCTCAAGTAGTTTTCAGAGAATGTCACCTTGAACCACCAGCTCCCCTGGCTCGATTCTTTTTCCCCACACAGGCCTTCTGCCAGGCAACAGAAGGTTGGGTCAGCCACTGAGGAGTCTCCCATCATTTTAAATGAGCGCCAGGGAGAAGTGTGGGACTTGCTAAACAGCAGTGAGGAGATCAGGAATAAAGGGTAAACAGGACCCAGTTCTAGCAGGAGAGTCAGGGGAGATGGAGGCTTAGGCAGGGTCCTGGCTGGGTGACCTCATACTCCTCAATCCTGGTGGCTTCCCTAGTTCGGATGGTGACAGTAACTTGGAGGGGAATAGGCTGTGTTCACTGTAATGGAGCAAAAGACCTGGGGCCTGATTGTGTATTTGGCTTCCTGAGGAAGAGTTTTATGGGGAACAGAAATGGGAGATGTTGGAAGGAGCCAACATCTGGGAGGAAGGGAGTGCCACGGCTGAATCTCAGGAAAGGCTAGAGATGGAGGATCAGACAGGGGGAGTTGTGCTGAGCCTAATGGAAAGCCAGCGGAGCCATCCGTGCAGAGCTCAGGTGTGCCTGCCCCGAGATAGAGAAGCTGGTGCAGAGTGGTAAAGGCAAGCCATTGAGGCATTGGGATTGGCAGAAGGTGAGGACGCTCTCTTCAGATCTCTTACTGCCCTCAAGACTGCTTCTCACCTATAGGCCCCAGTTCTCCCTTGTGCATGGGGTGTGCTGTCCACCCACTGCCATTGGTTTAGGGCCTGTGTGTGTCCTGCCATTTGAATTCTGAGCTGACGTTGCTGTGGTCTTCAGGCCTTCCACAAGCCCCAGGTCCCACTCTGAAGTCCAATGCTCCCATGAAGAGGAGCAAGTCAAGACTCTAAGACATCCTTCATTGTGGTCTCAGCTCCCAGGTCAATGCCTGATTAGGTAATAGATGCTCAGATGCTCAGTAAATAATTATGAGATGCACCAAGGAAAAAATGGCTGCGGTCCCAGTGGTGTTTTTTTTTTTTTCTCGTATAATATTGTGCCCTAAGGGGCTGGAGAGATGGCTCAGAGGTTAAGAGCACTGACTGTTCTTCCAAAGGTCCTGAGTTCAATTCCCAGCAACCACCTGGTGGCTCACAGTCATCTATAATGAGGTCTGGTGCCCTCTTCTGGCATGCAAGCATACATGGAAGCAGTGTTGTATACATAATAAATAAATCTTAAAATATATATATCGTGCCCTAAATGTTAGAGGAAGGTCGCCTGTAAAATCTTGTCAGTTCTGTTTGCTAGGCTTGCAGGGAATGCCTATGCTCGTGGAAAGACTGCTCTAAAGGAGAGCTTTTGTTTTCTTATGCTGCAATGGAAACCCTGACCTGTGCATGGCAGACAAACCTTCTACTACTCTACCCCCTACCCCATCCTCTTGAGGAAGGCTATTTTTGTTTTGTTTTACTTTTAGAAGTTTATTACAGACTCAAAGGTGGGAGTTTAAAGAGGAGAGACCTAGAGCACCCTGCTGTTTGAACTAGGCATGGAGGTCAGCCACATGGTGGACAAGAAGCCAGCTGGCAGGGAGGGGAGCATTGGAGAGCAAAGCTCAGTATTAGGGAAAGCATGCTTAGAACAGAGATGGGAAGAAAAGGAACTTATGCCTTTCTGAGAAACTTGAGGGAGGTTTTTAGGGAACAGCCTTGGAAGGCTGAGCAGTTGGACTGTTCCACTTCATTCCCTTGGAACACATGCTGCTGGCACTGGGGACATAGCACTGAGGGAGATGCAGCTCAGCCATTCCAGGGCTCTAGAATGGAGAATTCCCCATCAGCCACCACACTGGGTGGATGTGGGCTCAGAGTAGTAACAGTGATAGCAGCACCCACTGAAGGCCAGGTCCCATCCTAGATGACTTAGTTTGTCATGCTGGTGACCCAGATCTCAGAGATGAGGCTCAGAAAGGGTAAAGGAAGAGGGAGGCCTGCAAGTGCTTCCATCTGCCGTGAAGGATTCCAGGGACAGCAGACGGCCAGGGGCTCCTAGAGCACCACTGAAAGTTTGGCTCATTCTGTGGAGCATCCATTTAGTCAAGTAATAGATGCTTCAGAGGCCATCAGGAATCAAACTGCCCAGGGCCTCGGGAACCAAAGCATTTGAACTTCCTCTAGTTGGGAGGGAGTTAGTTTGGGGACAGTAAGCCTCATCTCTTAAGTATCTGCCTCCAGTTTTCCAACCCTTACCTTTTCTGACCTTGGCCTATCTTTTTCAGAGTGGCCTCCCCTGCCAGTATGGGTACCCTCCATACCCTGAGCCGTTACAGTCGCTATACGAGCATCCTGGACCTGGACAGCAAGACCCTACGCTGCCCCCTGTACAGGGGAACACTGGTACCCCGCCTGGCCGACCATCGCACCCAGATCAAGAGAGGAAGCACATACTACCTGCACGTCCAGAGCATGCTCACCCAGCTCTGCTCCAAGGCATTCCTCTACACCTTCTGCCACCACCTGCATCTGCCTGCCCACAGTGGGGAGACACAAGAAGCCGTGGCCAGCAGACAAGCCAGCTTCCTCAAGCTCAACCTGGGACTCGTGAATGAGGACATCAGGGTGGTGCAGTACCTGGCTGAGCTGTTGAAACTGCACTACATGCAGGAGTCACCTGAGACCATCCAACCCCTACTCAGGTTTGACTATGTCCCCAGCTTTTTGTATAAAATCTAAGGGTTCCAGCTACCATGACCAAGACCTGTGACTCGGTATGGGAAGGGAAAAGGTCGGTGTGACTAAATGGTTGCCTGAGCTGGAGTGTTGAGCTTTCTGATGTCAGCAGGAAGGAAACAGGTGGCAGTCGTGGTTCCCATCTAGCCCTGGGCAGTGTGTGAAGTGGGCCAAGCAGAGGTGGAGCCTGGCTCTCCAGAAGTGGCTGCTCTTGGTTCCATGGGGAAGTAGCTGTCAAATAGGGGTTGTCCTTAATTCTCCAAGGATCAACAGTCTGGGCAGGAAGAAGAAAGCTCCAGACCCTTTGGGGCTGGAAAAGATGAAGCTAAGTAGCCAAAGCCCAGATGACACCAGTGGCAGAATCAGCCTGGGAATTGGTGTGTGTAGGAACAAGACAGCCATCACCTCCATCTACCTCTACCAAGGCCCTTTACTTGGCTTCCTGGAGCCCAGTAACTGAGGGGAGGCTTCTGAACAAGGACCAGGAGGAAAAGTGCTCTGGACAGTTGGAGAAAGACACATCTGGGCTCTGGGGGATGCAGAAGTGGCCCCTTGTCCTATCTTCCCCTCTGTCAAGGAAGTGCTTATTGAGTCCCTGGGGGTCCTTACAGTGGTCCTGGATGTGAAGCAGGTGTCAAATGGCTATAGCCCATATGAGAACCTTCAGGGGTGTAGATGAAGTGGGCCCTAGCCCATTCCCCACTTGTATGGCAGGAGCTGCCCACTGGCTCTTCTCGGCCACAGCATTAACTCAAACACCCCTGGAAAGGGATGTAGCACTCTGTTACCTCTCCTGCGGCCTAGGGGCTTGGTGACAACTGAGTTCTGACTGGAACTTAGGAGCAAGGCTATCCTGTTCCAGCTTCTGGTGGCTATCATTATAGACTATAGATCCATACCTGAGAGGCAGTGTGCACCTCCATCCTTACAGTCATCCCCATGTGTGTCCCTTTCAGTCCCTACCTGACCCACTGGTGGCCATCATCATGACCTCCCTGGGACTCCTGTTGCAGCTGCTTCTGCTATGCCTCATGTGCTACATGGAGCACTCCTCAGTCTGGAAAGTGTGAGACCTGTTTAAAAGTGTTTTCTCCCTAAATAGGAGCTCTGGTTGTTACTGCTCCTTTTTTAATTTGCTCAAAAAAAAAAAAAAAAAAAACAAAAAACAACCCTGCAGTAAATTGAACCTGGATCATGGATCAGCCCTGTGCGTGCATCTATTAGATGCTGTGTCCCCTGCACTCAGGTCTCTCAGCTGGCCACACCACTGAGGTCTCTCACAAGAAGGAACCCTGTAGAAGCCAAGTAACCAAAGATGGCTTGGCAGCATATTGCTCCTGCGTTTGACACGAAGTTGCAGCCTGTTGGTTCTGGTTCATGGCTTCAGGTCATGGTCCCCATTTCACTTAGACAGTATGTGGCTTTGTTTCTGAGGCTTTGACAGAGATCCAGGATTTTGTCACTGTATTTACAGACACCTTAGCAGCTGTGGTTTCTCCTCATGGGCTCCCTCATCTGCTATTGCTTCTCAGAGTTCCTAGATGCGACTTTGGCTGGTTGGCAAAGTGGCGTTTCCTCAGGCCTCCAAGGATGAATGTGTTATGGAGCTCAAGAGCCAGGCTGGGAGGTGGTCAGTTTCTGGTACTACCTCAGCATGGGGACTCGAAGGTCAACACTGTTCCCTACACTGAGAAAGGCGGGAGAGCTGCAGCCACACTTGGCCTTCTGGATACTGAAAACAAACTTCAGTGGTCTGAAGTGGAGCTCCATGTGCAATTGGCATTCAGCCACAGGGTGACTCAGAAGACAAAGCCATGACTGATGTGGAGTGGGCACAACAGTCTTGTGTAGCAGCTGTGGAAATGGCGTCTCTAGGATTTACTTTTTTTGTTTTGTTTTTGAGACAGGATCTCATGTTAACCCAGAATGGGTCTAAATTCAGTATGAATTCAGGATAACCCTGAATTCTTGATCCTTCTGCCTCCACATCCCAGTTGCTGAGATGATAGGTGTGTGCCACCAGACCCAGCGACTGGATTTAGGCTTGGTGATTTGGAAGGATTACTTAGTGCTGAAAGCATGCTTCCTCTCAGGGTCTTAGTCATAGAGGCTGAGTTTGGACCGAGTTTTCCTCTGCTGTGGAGGACTGGAATCCTTTAGAAGTAGTATTTCTACACACTTTGATGCTGTGGAGACCTATGCAGCAGGACTCAACTCCTTGAATTTTCATTTGTCATTGGGCGTGGTGGCACATATCTTTAATCCTAGCATTCAAGAGGTGGCTCTCTGTGAGCTAGAGGTTACCCTGACCTACATGAGTTCCAGACTAGCCAGAGCCACATAATGACACCCTGTCTCAAAGAACAAAAGGTTTCCATCTGAAGTGTTTCTCAATTTCTAGGCTAGTAAGGCTTTTGTTTGTTTTGTTCTTTTGAGACAGCCTCATATGGCCAACGATGACTTTGAACTTCTGATCCTCCTGCCTCTGCATGCTTTGCAGGTCTGTCATGCCTAGATTATACAGTTTTGGGGAATGAGCCCAGAACTTCATACATGCTAGGCAAGCACCCTACCAACTGAGCTGCATCCCTAGGCTGGCTACTTTAAATTATCCTATTAAAAACACCCCACAGAAGGATAACAGAGCCCCTTCTTTATTCCTATCATTTTGAATTCTGGCAGTAAAACTGGCAAGTCAGGTTTATTTCAATTTGACTGCCAAGCAATTATTTGCCTTCCTATTTCTAAAGCTGTCTAGTTTAAGAACCATCCAATTGAACTGGTACATTACTTTTACCATTGTACAAGTAATGCTTGTATGTTACTGGACATTCACATGCTCCATTGCTGAGGTCAGTCCACAGTCTTCCCTATAGTGTTTGGGGACATTGGAACATACTGGCTTGAGTTGCCATCTCCTGCCTCACCATTTCCCTTCAGTAGAACCTTGGATTAAAAATGTTTTAATTCAGCCAGGTGGTGGTGGCGCACGCCTTTAATCCCAGCACAAAGGAGGCAGAGGCAGGTGAATCTCCGGGTTCGAGACCAGCCTAGTCTACACAGACCTTGTCTCAAAAATAAATGTTTTAACCCCTCCATGATTTGCTATTGAAGTGGCTGAAGTTACTCTTAAACTTGGAACTGGACTTCAGTAATGACCTGTCATTTCTAATCTGACTTTTAACTCCTTTATTTTAGATCAGTTGCCATATTTAAAGTACAAGGATTTCAACATAATTCTAGGAAGGTCAGGAGATCTCCCTTCTCCCTTGCCAAGTATCAAAACCAGCAGTGCTGTGTGGTACTGGATGGAGGCAAAGCTTCTAGGTTATCTTGTATGCATCTTGGCCACCTCCTACATTGCTCAGTCTATGCCACTCCCCAGCCTGAGTGCTATATACTGGACCAATGTCCTGTGCTAGAGCCACCATGGTTTATCTCCCAAATGTTTGGGTAGCAGTAGCTTACCCAGTCAGAGATGATGCATCATCAGGTGTAGGGCCTCTGGAGGTACCAAACCCTCATGGCAGTAGCCATCCAGGCTACTTTCTACTTCCCTAGAAAGCTCCTAAGAAAGTGCCTTGGCTTGTACTTTGAAATGAATAGCCAGCTTTCTGGCTTTACCCTAAAACTGTGATCAAACTGGAATTTTTAAGGGACACACTGCAGAAAGGAGCAAGGTTTAGATTCCTTTTGCTCTGAAAGCAAAACCTTGCTTGAGCTTAAACACAGTTTCCCTGAGCCCTTGGTCCAGTAAGGTTTGGTAACGTTAAAGCTTAGGGAAGGAACAGCAGGAACAGATGAGATGTAGCAGTGGGGAAAAAGCATCCTACAGTGTTGGTGTGTTGGTGGTTTACAGCATAGGTCCCCAAGAGGCCCAGCTTGGAGCTGTGTAGTTTTCTTCAACTAGGCAGGAATTAAGTCCCTGGATTTAAGGTTGCTAAAGTAGTTCAGTGGCCCCACAATCAGAGATGAGGGGACCAGTATGCCACCACACCCCACGGAAACGGACACAACTGCCTTCACATGGTGGAGACAGTACCAACGATGGACCAGCTCCCAGGGAGCCTTGGGCAAACTCTAATACTGGCCAGCTGGAGCTGCAGGCTGGACTGAGGCATACAGCAGTTAGTGAGCAGCACAGTCTGCAATGAACTCTTGCTATTTTCTAAGAAGCTATTTTATTACTGCATGTTCCACCATGTCTGTGAATATGTGTCCCAACCTGCAAGTTGCAGTCCCAGTAGTGGAACCAGAGCACTGCTGATGTGACCGTGTACCACAGGCATTATGCACAAAGTTTAACCAGAGTAAATGCCAAACAAATAGTATGAGGAGTGTACTTTTAAAAATATTAATTTATTTGAGTTCAGATATTTTTAAAATATAAAAATTGGTTGTATTTTTTAAAGCTATAATTCTTGTAGACATTCTGTGGATAAAAATTTGTGTGTATTAAATTGGTTTGCAATTTAGCCATGTGAAAAATAAAGACTCTTTGGGAAGGTGGCATTTGGGTTCCTAATTACAAGCAGCTGATATAACACAAAGCCTTTGGCCTCTGCTGATTCTCAAACCAGAAAGGGATTTTCACATCTATAGGGACAACCAGTTCTATAGTTTGTGTCCTAGGCATGAATACATACTGAGTACGTGCATTCCCTCTAAGTGACAGTGACACCATAGCCTTTCTATAAGGTAATTCAAACTGCCGTCGGTGTTTTTTTCTTTAAAACAAAATGTTATGAGTATTGCTATTTTGCCCATATGTATGTCTGCAGCTCATGTTTACCTGGTGCCCTCAGAAGCCAGAAGGTGTTGGAACTGGAGTTACAGATGATTGTGATCCATCGTGTGAGTACTGGGGGTTAAACCAGGGTCCTTGGAAAGAGCAGCCAGTGCTGAGCCATCTTTCCAGCGCCTGTTTCTAAGTCTTGCTTACAACTGTCTTGTTTATAGTCTTAAGCTCAGAGCAGAAAACTCAGAGCTCCTCTCCATTCTACTGGGCAACAGAACAGGAAGAAGAGAAAACACAAGGATGAACCTGAAAATTTCCTTACCTGCCACAGGGCCACTGAGAAAGGAGAATTCTGGAATCTTTAATAGCTCTGCCTCATACTGCAATCAATAAGTGAGAACAAATGACTACACAGTACTTTTTTCCAGAATAATTAGTTATATACAGCTGTTAAGAAGTGAAATTTCAAATTTATAGTCCTTGATAACCTGTCCCAGATTTCTGAAATAAGAACAGCCTGTCAGAAACACCCTCCAAAGTAGTGCAGGCTCAGTGGCCTACTACAGGGCAGCTTGGTGGTCTTGAGAGAGCACAGGGTTCAGAGGGTCCTGGAACAGTCCTACCCTCATGGATTGGACTGTCAGAAGTCGGGCAATCCAGGTAGTAAGAAGTTGGAAGCAAAACTCTCCACGTCTTCCCGGAGAGTCCTCAGAGCGCTCTGGTACTTCTCATCCCCCGCCAGCTTCTCCTTGAACTCTTTCAGTGTGGCCCTCACGGCCATGTCGCTCTGAATCTGCACAGTCAGCTCTATCCCTGTGCAAAAGACAGTGAGTGCCAACTGGGGCCTCCTTCACTACATATCCTGCTATAACTAGATGATTCTGGACTGTGTCCTTTGTCAATAGACAAAGAGGGATTTGTAGACCAGCTTTCACCCATGGCTGGGTCTTAGCTACTAAAACACATGAGCAACTATACACACAAGCAAGACATTTGAACTTCCAATACCTCACCCTTCCTTACCTCTGTGGATAAAGTGTGCAACTTTTTGGAAGTCTTCCTCCAAAAGTCCACGGGATGTCAATGCTGGGGTCCCCAGTCGCAGTCCACTGGGCCGTAATGCGCTCTTGTCACCTTTGAGATAAACAAGATCCTGAGCTGCATCAAACACACTGTGCCCACGTATTTTCAAAAGAAAGTTGGGCAAAGATCCTAGTCTGTGAATCCCAACTTGATCTAGCAAGGAAGTGACTGACTTCAAAACTAGGGTGTAAGGCATGTGGGCCACTGTATTAACTGATGAAAAGCAGTCCTGTGGGGGTGGCTCGGTCCTTCAGAGGTTAACATCCGTGTGGGCCTGACAGGAGAAATGCTACTTGGTTTAAAAAGTTCCTGTCTCTTACAGCTGTGCCACTTCGATTGTCCTTTCCTTTCTGCCCTTCCCTACAGTGGTCGGTCTCCTGAGCTGAATACTCTCGTCAACTCCAACACTAGCTGAAAGAAATGCAGATAGGAGGGCCGTGAAAGGAATGACCACAGAGGAGTCTCACCTGGGCAGGTATTCTTGTTGCAGGCAATAGAACAGGCTTCTAGTACCTTCTCAGCTCTTCCACCATCGGTACCCTTAGAACGGAGATCCACTAGGATCAAATGATTATCAGAACCACCTGGAAACAGAGTTGGATAAAATGGAATTAGAAGGTTGGCTACACAAGGAAAAGAACCTGCCGTTCTGGAGAGGTGGGCGAAGATGTTCCACTAGGAACTGGGAAGAGGACATGGCATAACTGGCCATATAAAGGGGTGCAGAGCTTCTAACTGCCTGTGCCGTGACATGGTGGAGACCCACACAGGTGAGGAGCACTCAGGTCTCATATTCTGTGACAAATGACTCTAGGTAAACGCTCTACCACTGAGCCACATCCCCAGCCTTTCTGATGCCAGTGTTAAGACTCTGGGATAGGCATGAGAAATCAGTCCCACCCATCACTAGGCAGAGGCAGGTGGATCACAAATGAATTCAAGGCCAGCCAGGAGTATCTAGGCCAGCCAAGACTACATAGTAAGACCTTTGTCCCAAAAAACCAAACTCAAACCAAAACAACAAAAGAGCTCCTTCTGAGTAGTGCCGGAGTAGTTATAGTAGAGGCGCAATTAACCTTGGAGATGGGGTAATGACCATATATGTTCGGGACGCTCTGTGCTTTTGTTCTAAACCCCATGGCAAAACAGACTGGCAAAACCCATCATTCAAAATGTTCAAGACCAGAAGCAGTGTTTTGAGATTTGAGGATTTTTTTTTCATATTTTAGAATATTTGCTAGACCTTATTGGTTGAACATCCCCAACACAAAAATGCTAATCCAAACTTTTTAGGCATCTGGTTTGTGTTCAGAGCCTTCAGATTCCAAAGGATATAAGTACTAGTGACATAAATAATGCTAAGATTCAGATCTCAAGGGTTCCCTAAAAGTTCATGGTGTTAAAGGCCTGCTCTCTCTTCTAGCGTTACCAAAAGGTAACAGAACCTGTAGAGATGGGTCAGATGCTGGCCACTATGATGCATTCTGGAACTGGAGGCCAGCCTGGGCTATGTAATGAAACGGTTTCAAAAAGACACTCACCCTGTCCCCCAAAAGACAGGCTTAGTAGGTCTTTAGGTCACTGAAAGACTATGGGATCTCAGCCCTTCTCTTCTTTCTTCTTCCCTGGCTGTGAATTAAATGGCTGTGGTTCACCACAAGCTCCCACCATGATGTACCTGCCCAAAAGTAAAGGGACTAATTGGGTTAATCTACTGTGGACTTGACCACATACTCCAAAAGTGAGCTAGTCTGTCTTTGTGTTACGCTGATTACCTCAGGCACTTTTTATAGACACAGCCGGCTAACCGATGAGGAGGACAGCAATAATAACAGAACTTTCTGGACCAAGCCCAAGGTCATAAAGATCCTGAGCCTCTAGGTCTTTCCACTTTGAACTCTTTTTAAACCATGGTGTGGCCTTGGAAGACCATTGTTTACTTCAGCCCCAGGCTGTACTGCAGGAATGATTCCAAAGATCCCAGGTCAAAGAAAAAAAAAGAAAAATAGACTGGCATGTCACAAGGCTGTCATCATACATGAGAGGAACCAGGGAAAGCCTACTGTGCCCTGGCCTCATGGATGGTGTGAGCTATCAGCAAGTGGAAGAATCCTGACTTTGCCACTTGCAAGTGGGTGACAGCTGTAATCTGACATCTCTGTTATCCAGAATGTGTAGTCCGCATATTGGGTATCACATGGCAGTTGCTAAAACACACAGAAGGGAAAGAACTACAGCTGAGGGTATGCTCAGCTGTGTGAGGTGGCAAGAGTCAATGCATTGGTGGCAAACCACACCCTGACCAGATGAAGCAAGAGGCAAGACTTCAATATACCCACCCAAGAAAGGTCAGCCCAATTTTGTGAGCATTTAGTATACCTGTAACTATTTTGTAGCCTAGGTCTGTGAGGGCCTCAGACAGAGCCCTGCAGTTGGCCACCACTTGGAGCTGGTAGATTTTGAATTCTGTGGTCATGGCTTGCTTCAGGGCCACAGCAACACCTGGACAAGGAGACAGATTTAAATACAGGTGTTGACTCAGGAGCAGGTCTTTTTTTCAGGGAACCCAGTATCTGTAACTATTGTATCACCCTCCCCCCTTGACCAATTATCTATTTCTATTCTTTCACATGGCTAGGGATAGAACCCAAGATCGTGGTTGTGCTACATCCCATTCCCATTGTTTTAGCCCTATAATTACCCTACCACCCTTGCACACATCACTAAAGTCACTCCCCAAGGACTGCTTTGGAGATAAGCTTATCTCTAGGGATGAAAGCCTAGTGTATTCTGATTACCACAAGGATGGATTTTAGTCCTTTCATGCTTGGTATGTGGGAATGAATCTCTGGATGAACGAAGTCAGTGACATAATGCAGCATTCTGAGCTATGCCCCAGAAAGAACGGCCTGCTTGCCCCCTCACCACCTCGGAGCACTGACACCCTTGTAATTACTCATGAGGGCTGTTTGACTACAAGGGACGAGAAGCAGAGCACCACGCTCAATGTACACACTGATGTCCTGGTATGGAGCACCTGTCTGCTTGTGGAAACACTTGGACCAGCAAGCCTGGTATCTTCAGTAGCAAGAACCATGAGAGCTAAGCAGACCCCGCAATGGGGAAATCTGGAAACCGGCCCAGAGCCCACCACATCTCAGGCATCTGTTGTGCTTCACCAACGGGCTATGTTAAGCTAAACTAGCTTCCAAGTCAGAGATCTGTCTGCCTCTTCCTCCCCAGTGCTAGGATTCAAGGCATGTGCCACTATGCCCCATTTTTGCTTATGGGTGTTTAACTTGCATGTATGTGTATACATCACTTGCATGCCTGGTCCCTGCAGAGACCAGAAGTATTGGATTCCTTGAAACTGGAGTTACAGATAGTTATGAATCCCCTGTAGGTACTGGAAACTGAGTCTAGAAGAGCAGCCAGTGATCTTAACTGCTAAGCCATCTCTCCAGCCCCCATGTGCTGTTCTTTCGTATCAGTGTACACACTGATGTCCGCCTGAGAAACCCCACCTTGTCCTGAGTGCTTCAGTACCAGCGAGTACCACAGTTAATGCCACAATGACAGCGAGATGATTCAGAATGCAAGTAGTTATCTCTAAGCCTTGTGTCCAAATAGGGGAGAAAAGGAGAAGAGAGCCTGTAGGGCTCCTGTGGAACCCAGGAGTCACTGCTGT